TTGAGGTGCCCAAAGCAACCTTTCAAAGACAGATTTTTAATCTAAGAAACTAAAACATTTTACCACAAGTATACTCTTTTAGCGAAAACTAATGTTTTATTTTTACTTTTTATTATTGTATTTTTGAGACAGAAGCTTGTTCTGTGGCCCAGGCTGGAGTACAGTGGCGCGATCTCAGCTCACTGCAACCTCTGCCTCCCAGGTTCAAGCGATTCTTCTGCCTCAGCTTCCCAAGTAACAGAGACTAGAGGCACGTGCCACCATGCCTGGCTAATTTTTTGTATTTTTAGTAGAGACACTGTGGTAGCCAGGATGATCTCGATCTCCTGACCTCATGATCTGCCCGCCTCAGCCTCCCAAAGTGCTGGGATTACAGCAGTGAGCCACCATGCCTGGCCTGGGTAAACTAATATTTATTAAACACCTATGCATCTATACTATATGACAGACTTCCCAACAACCCAACAAATAAGCTATTTCTTTTTTTTTTTTTTTGAGACAGAGTCTCACTCTGTCACCAGGTGCCAGGCTGGAGTACAGTGGCACAATCTCGGCTCACTGCAACCTCCGCCTCCTGGGTTCAAGCAATTCTCCTGCCTCAGCCACCCGAGTAGCTGGGACTACAGACGTGCGCCACCATGCCCAGCTAATTTTCATATTTTGTTAGAGACGGGGTTTCACCATGTTGACCAGGATGGTCTCGATCTCTTGACCTCGTGATCCACCCGCCTCGGCCTCCCAAAGTGCTGGGATTACAGGCGTGAGCCACCGTGTCCGGCGCTATTTCTTTTTTATTAAAGCTAAATACACTCAGCCAGCAGATGGAAAGTAATATCTATGCTATGCTCTGTGCTTGAGGTTTTTGTTTTTAAAATGTGGAAAACAACAAATACTGTAGCATGCAGACTATTCCGTATTGGTCATTGTTTACGTATTTGTTTCTTAAAGAAGAAAGCCAGGCGCGGCTAATTTTTTGTGTTTTTAGTAGAGACAGGGTTTCACCACATTGGCCAGCCTGGTCTCAAACTCCTAACGTCAGGTGATCCACCTGCCTTGGCCTCCCAAAGTGCTGGAATTATAGGTGTGAACCACCGCAACTGGCCTCACAGTGACAGTCTTTGAAGAGTAAATATTCTCAATCTTTGCAGGTCTGAAAATATCTTCATTTTTTACACTGGTTTTAGAAAGTTAAATTGGCTGGGTCTAGACTTCTAGGTTGCTGGTTAATTTTCTTCAGCATTTTGTAGATATACCACTATTCTGGCATATATTGTTGCTGAAAAAAGTTGAATGTCAGTTTGATTGTCTTTTCTTTGAAGGCTCTGTGTTTTCTAGTAGCTTCTGAGTTTCACTAAGATGTGTCTAGATGTGTATTGCTATCTAGTTTGGGACTCATTGTGCCCTTTTAATTGAAAGTTTGTATCTTTAGTTCTGGACATTTTTTATTATCTTTTAAATATATTTCTCCTTTCCCATCCTATGTCCTTCTTGAATGTCTTAGAAGTCTTTCATCTACCCTGCACAACACCACTGGGCGCGGTGGCTCACGCCTGTGATCCCAGCACTTTGGGAGGCCGAGGCGGGTGGATCACAAGGTCAAGAGATCGAGACCATCCTGGTCAACATGGTGAAACCCCGTCTCTACTAAAAATACAGAAAATTAGCTGGGCATGGTGGCGCGTGCCTGTAATCCCAGCTACTCAGGAGGCTGAGGCAGGAGAATTGCCTGAACTCAGGAGGCGGAGACTGCAGTGAGCCGAGATCGTGCCATTGCACTCCAGCCTGGATAACAAGAGCGAAACTCCATCTCAAAAATAAATAAATAAATAAATAAACAAATTTGTGCCTGCAAGTTTATAGTTTTCTTCTGAGAAAATTTTGTTTATGGCTTGGTTATGGATGCAGCTGCTTCCTTTGGAGAAATTTTTAGGTTATTTCTGCTGAGGCCTTACATGGTTTTCTGAACTGAACCAAATGTTATGTTCTGTTAAATGGGACTCCGTCACCATGCAGATAATATGAACTGGTTTCTGTATTTACATGCAACCACACCTCTTGTTTGTATGACTTTGTTTCAACTGATGAGATCAGGAACTTGTTTCTTGCAATGACCCTGGACTAGTAGATACTGATTTTTCAGTCCTCATATTGGAACAGGGCTTTCCCAATTCTAAATATGCCCATTTATGCTCCTTACTATCCATTGTGACTGCAGCTTCAATTCTTAACATCCATTTCTCAACATTATTGAAACACCTCAATTCCTAAGGTACAACATACCCAGTCTAGGGACCTCTATGGGCAATGTGGTTTCAAGTTCTGTGTGTTCCCTCTTTATTTCTATCACCTGCAAACTTCCCTTTCTTCCTTTAGAACTTACTTTTTTCTGTGGAAAAGAGGTAAAGAGGAGTATTTACTGGGGAAATTTGAGTGAGGAAAAGAGGAATATTTTATTAGCATGTCCGTTTCTTTGAAGTAGGGATGGGAATATTTTCCATATATATTCAGTCTGTATCTAAAAAGAGAAGTGAGTGTTGTTGGTATTATTCACCTCTATAAGTAAAATAATGTGTGACCAATACCAACAGCACTCAGGTAAATGTCATTGTCACCATTTTACAGATAAGAAAGCAGTTTCAGAGAGTTAACCACTTGCCCTAAGACACAGCTAGTCATTAGTGGGGCTAGAATTTAAATTCAAAGCTATATATTACTTTGCACTATTTTTTTCTGCCTCGCTATTGTTCATTTATTTACTCAATAATTTACTTTTAATTTATCTTATATCGTTTTGCCCTTGACATCAGGTTTGGACAGTATTCCAAAGGGAAGTTGTCTGGCATGATGGCTCACACCTATAATCCCAGGGCTTTGGGAGGCCGAGGTGGGAAGATCTGCCTGAGGCCAGGAGTTGAGACTGGACTGGGCAATATAGGGAGACCTCCTTGCTACAGAGAACTAATATGCAACCTGACTAAATTTCATCTAAAAACACCTGACAATGATTGTTGCATGATGCATATTTCTTTTAGAGACTCCCCTTATTTTCATACCATAATTATCATGGGCTTCATTCTTATCGTCTTCTTTTTTTTTTTTTTTAGTGGTGGGACCGAGTCTCGCTGTTGTCACTCAGGCTAGAGTACAATGGTGCAATCTTGACTAACTTCAATCTCCAACTCCTGTGTTCAAACAAGTCTCCTACCTCAGTCTCAGCCTCTTGAGTAGCTGAGACTACAGGCAGACACCACCATGCCTGGCTAATGTTTGTGTGTGTGTGTGTATTTTTTTTTTTTTTTTTTGAGACGGAGTTTCGCTCTTGTTACCCAGGCTGGAGTGCAATGGCGCGATCTCGGCTCACTGCAACCTCCGCCTCCTGGGTTCAGGCAATTCTCCTGCCTCAGCCTCCGGAGTAGCTGGGATTACAGGCACGCGCCACCATGCTCAGCTAATTTTTTGCACCATTAGTAGAGACGGGGTTTCACCATGTTGACCAGGATGGTCTCGATCTCTTGACCTCGTGATCCACCTGCCTCAGCCTCCCAAAGTGCTGGGATTACAGGCTTGAGCCACCGCGCCCGGCGTGTGTGTGTGTATTTTTAGTAGAGATGGGGTTTCATCATGTTGGCCAGACTGGTCTCAAGCTCCTTACCTCAAGTAATCCGCCTGCCGCAGCCTCCCGAAATACTAGAGTTACAGGCATGAGCCACTGTTCCTGGCCAAGCTTTATTCTTAAATGCAACTTACTTCTGGGAAATAATTGTTTAAGGACTGTATTAAGCCTGCTTTACTAGCACCTTCCTGCAGCCTCTTCTCCCAAAATACCGTCATGCTTGGTAGTATTAGACTTCAGATTGACAGCACTTCTATGAATGGCAGACACTCAGGCTAATGGCTGTCCTTTTTACAAAATACGAAAATAATGTTGCTAGACTGATGCAGTAGCTCACCAGCACTTTGAGAGGCCAAGGCGGGAGGATTGCTTGAGCTCAGGAGTTTGAGACCAGCCTGGGCAACATAGTAAGACCTTGTCTCTTTTAAAATTCCAAAAAATTAGCTGGGCATGATGGCATGCACCTGTAAGTCTTCAGCTACTTGGCAGAGGTGAGGCAGGAGAATCGCTTCAACCAGGAAGGTCAAGGCTGCAGTGAGCCCTTATTGTGCCACTGTACTCCAACCTGAGAGTTTTTGTTTTTTTTTTTTTTTTTTTTTTAAATAGTTTTGCTAGATAACCCTCCATTCCCAACCTTCTAATATGTCTGACACCACAGACTATACTCATTCCTTTGCTATTTCCAAGTTACAGTAGCCTAACGCACCTGCCTTATCCACAAATTTTCTTCATTGTCTTTTGGAATGCATTTAACCAGTAAGCTTTTTACCGATAAAACCATCTAGATTTTGTATTTTGCATAACATTGATATTCCTTTATAGTTCGTATTGGATGAAATGTCTTGAACACAGCAAGTTATCTTTTTTTTTTTCCGTTCTGTATGCCAGACTTTTAAAGATAGAATCTGCATTGAGTTCAACTTTGGCTGCTTGCTCTTCTGCTGTGAGTAGCAGTTTTCAATCAAGTTCCCAGTGGCAGCACCAGTAGGGGAGGTCTGCATTTTTTTAGGATGACCTACCTCAGTCCTAGAGCTGTTGGATTCCAGCCTGTTTTGGAGGAGTTTATTCTTTTGGTTATTATTTAAAGCACTTAAGTCTTCTGAATCTCACTGAGTTTTTTGTTTTGACTTTTCAAATGTTCTTCACAACTCTTGTAGGAAATTTAAAATGTTATACCCAGAACTGTACAAGTACTTTACTAGTGAGGTTAAACTAAATGTAACAGTGCAACAACAGATCAGAAGCACACTAAGATTTCACTTGTGTCAGTCTTGAAAACCCTAGACCTCTTAGAGCAACCAGAGAGTTGTTTCCTTTCATGTAGTTCCACTTAAATAGCAATTTACAGCTGTGTTTTTTTTTTTTCAATCCTCCATAGATTCTGCTAAATTCAGAAGAAATTGCATGCAATCCCCGGCTTTGTTCCAGAAGTTAATTTGTGAAAGAATGAAAGCCATGATCTTTGTCTTGATGTAAGTTGAAAATGAAATAATCTTTTGTTTGTATGAATATTTCCCATAGGAACAATGATATGTAGGGGTGTCCAATCTTTTAGCTTCCCTGAGTCACATTGGAAGAATTGTCTTGGGCACAAATAACATTAACTAACAATAGCTGATGAGCTTAAAAGAAGAAGAAGAAAAAGTTAAAACCTCATACTTCTTTTTTTTTTTTTTTGAGATCTTGAAACGGAGTCTCAGGATCTAGCTCTGTCGCCCAGACTAGAGTACAGTGGTGCCATCTTAGCTCACTGCGGCCTCCACCTTCCAGGTTCAAGTGATCCTCCTGCCTCAGCCTCCTTGGTAGTTGGGATTACAGGCATGTGCTACCATCTCCAGCTAATTATTATATTTTTAGTAGAGACAGGGTTTTACCGTGTTGGCCAGGCTGGTCTAGAACTCCTGACCTCAGGTGATCCACCCACCTCGGCCTCTCTAAGTGCTGGGATTACAGGCATGAGCCACCATGCCCGGCCTTCTGAACACAATTTTCAACCTCAGACATTTTAATGCCTCGGATGTTCATTCACTTCCCTCTTAATACGCTGCATTTGGGCCCATATCTGGGCTCCTCAGTTCAGCACTCTTGCTGCCTAGTTGGGGAAGGGTGAAGGATGGGGGAGAGACTTTCTTGACTCAGTGCTGGCAGGAGCAAGAAGCCAAGCACATCAGAGTTCAAGGCCAAAGTACCAGGAAGTGGTCTGGGACTAACTGTAGGATCCCTGGCCAAAGCCAGGGAAAAAGGGGCTTTCTCTTAAAATGGTAAGACTTGCATAAAAGATGCAAGGTTAACTAAGTCTAGCATTATCCTGTAAAGGCCTAGAGTTATGGAAAGTTTCCTGAAATTTGAACAGCACAAGTTGAGAGGCAACCCTTTATCTGGATAAGGGGCATCAGGTTTCCAACGACAAAACTGGTGCCCCTCATTTAGAAAAAGGATTTAGAGGGCCAGGCACGGTGGCTCACGCCTGTAATCCCAGCACTTTGGGAGGCAGAGGCAGGTGGATCACGAGGTCAAGAGATCGAGACTATCCTGGTCAACATGGTGAAATCCCATCTCTACTAAAAATACAAAACATCAGCCGAGCATGGTGGTGCGTGCCTGTAATCCCAGCTACTCAGGAGGCTGAGGCAGGAGAATTGCCTGAAACCAGGAGGCAGAGGTTGCAGTGAGCCAAGATCATGCCACTGCACTCCAGCCTGGGTAGCAAGAGCGAAACTCCGTCTCAAAAAAAAAAAAAAGAAAGAAAAAGGATTTAGGTGCCACTTCAGGGTGCATGAATCCATCTGAGACAAGCAGTTTGGAAGCTGAAACGGGATCACTTATAGTGATTTACAAGGCTCTGGGACAGACTGTTGGTCAGACATTGGCCAGGGTTTGGGCTGTTTGATGGCGTATATAGGTCTCATGGGTTTCCAGATGGGGTTGGGACCATTGCTGTTTATCACACCAGGCTACCAGGTGAGGATTGCTTTCAGTTGCCTGTGGTCAGTCCCAGGTGGAAGTGGCTAGGGCCAGGGCTGTGAGGATGCAGAGGGGATGCCCAGTTCATAGGACGGGTGTGTATGTCTGCCTTTGGCTCCCAGTCTTAAAACTGTTCATCTCCACTCCCGCTGCTTCACTTGACTAAATAAAAACCACCTTTGCACAACCTTGTGAATGTACTTAACTCATGGTATGCCTGAGAATGGTTAAAGTGCTACATTATGTATATTATGTATATTTTTCCATGATAAGCAGAAAAATTTTAGGGAACACACTCTACACAAAGCCAGTTCAGAGGCCCCATCTTCAAGCTCTGGCATTTTGTACATATCTTTAAGAACTGATCACAGCAGACATTGGAAATACTGGTTCCCATGGCAACGTGCCTTTTTGAGATCATTAAATTCTTTTTTTTTTTTTTTTTTTTTTGAGACTGAGTCTTTGTCACCCCAGGCTGGAGTGCACTGGCCAATCTCAGCTGACTGCAGCCTCTATCTCAGGTTCAAATAATTCTCCTGCCTCAGCCTCCTGAGTAGCTGGGACTACAGGCACGTACCGCCACACCCGGCTAATTTTTATAATTTTTAGTAGAGACAGGGTTTCTCCATTTTGGCTGGCTGGTCTTGAACTCCTGACTGCAAGTGATTCACCCACCTCAGCTTCTCAAAGTGCTGTGATTGTAGTGGTTAGCCACCGCACCCAACCCACCATATATTTCTTTTATCTCGCTCTCACTCTTGTTCTCTCTCACTCTCTCTGGTGCTGTCTCTCCCTCTGTCACTCAGGCTGGAGTGCAATGGCGTGATTTTGGCTCGCTGCAACCTCCACATCCTGAGTTCAAGCGATTCTCGTGCCTCAGCCTCCTGAGTTGCTGGGATTATAGGCATACATCACCACGTCTGGCTAGTTTTTTGTATTTTTAGTAGAGATAAGGTTTCATCTTCATCAACAGTGAAGGTGGCTTCAAGCTTCTGACCTCAGGCAATCTGCCACATCTTGGCCTCCTAAAGTGCTGGCATTACAGACATGAGCCACCACGGGCCCAGCCCATATTTCTTTTTATTTGTTGAACACATACTACTTGGAAGACCCTGGCTCAGCACTAAGAATCCCAACGATGGGTCAGATACAGTCTCTGCTAGAGAGACCAAAACATAGAGACAAAAACAGAGTGAACATTAAAAAATTAATTACAAATGGTGCCCAGGGTACAGGAGGAAACAAACCAAGGGCCGAGACAGAATGTTTTAACAGAGAAAGCCTATTTCATGGGGATATGAGGAAGGCATTTTTGAAATGATGAAATGCAAAGAATGACTAGGAGCCCGCAAAGCAAGGTGGCTCGGGACAGGGATCCAAAGGGCAGTGCCTTTGAGGATGAGAGCCCAGACAGGGAAAGACTGGCACAAGCGTTAAGTAATACGTGAGTAATTTAATAGTGAAGGACAAGTGATTCACTTGACTCTTATCACCTGTGTTTGGCTCTGCTATGTTCTAGGGGCAAACTAATGGATCATAGCCATGGAAACAACCTTGGCATGCAACTGTAAACACTGTAAAGTAAGTAGAAATGAATTGCTGTTTGCTTCCATTATTTACTAACTCAAGGACAGGGTCCCCAGGTCTGCAGTTACCATGGCGGCAGGATTTCCTGTTTTTGCTGATAGGCAAAAAATTAGCTGGGCATGGTGGTGGACACCTGTAATTCCAGTTACTTGGGAGTCCTGTTGTCCAGGCTGGACTGCAGTGTCTCAATCTCAGCTCACTGCAGCCCCTGCCTCTGGGGTTCAAGCAGTTCTCGAACTTTAGCCTCCCCAGTAGCCAGGACTATAGGTGTGCACCACCACGCCCAGCTAATTTGTTATATTTTTAGTAGAGAAGGGGTTTCAGCATGTTGCAGGCTGGTCTCAGGTGATCCTCCTGCCTCAGCCTCCCAAAGTGCTGGTTACAGGTGTGAGCCACCACACTTGGCCTTTGCTCTTCCCTTTTTATCTTAACTAGAATGGGTACATGGTGCCTGAATAGGCAACAGCCATCCTGAGACCATGCGGATGAAAACTGAAGGAGCAGCAGGGCTTGGCATATTACCTCTGGACTTAAATGAGAAAAGATAAATTGCTATTTGATTGAACTTCCATAGCTGGCATTCAGTTACATGCAGTCTAACTCAGTTCTAACAAAAAGGGCCAAAGTGGCCTTCACTGTTGACCAAGGCAACTGTTTCTTCAGCCAGTCAAAGGCAAAACTGATGATGTAACAATGGCTGTTAGGTTCTGTGTTGTCATTGCCGTTCAGCTCCCTCTAAAACGATAAAGTAAACCAAACCAAAGAAAGGCATTCTTCCAATTGAAATGCTTTTATTATTAGAATACTAATAAATGCAGATAAAAAAAACCCACACACAGAAAAAGAGGAAAACACTCAGAAATGTGATTACAGGTTAAGCATATTAGAGGAAAAAGAGTTGCTCAGGGTATACAAAATGTAAACATTTTCCCTGGGATTTCCCACAGATGGCACAGTCCACACGGACTTTTTTGGAACAAATACAAGTCTGTTGAGTCTCCAGGATAGCCTCTATGTCTGCAAACTTGCAACACTGTTTAAGTTCCTAAGAATTTCTATGCAAAAAAACAAAATGGCTCCCAATCCAGGCAACTGGCACGTGTGGAAGCAAAATAACCAAAGCAAATCCATCTTCCAACAGTCAGCTTCAGCTCCCTCCAGCTACTGTATTTACATTTACCTTGACAGATTACAAAGATATATATATACATAGTATATAAGACGCCTACTTGAGGCAGGGCTGTGAGATGAAATCTTTCTTGCTTATAAAATGCTCTGAGGAGAGGCATCAGATCAGTCCTTGGAACTTATCGACAGAGGACTAAGAAGAGGCTCTCTTCTGTTCAGAAAATGGAGACTCATAAACTTCCATGGGTGGGCAGGTACAAACCAGGTGCTGATCTCCATATATGTCATCAATCCGGGCAATGGTTGGCCAGAATTTGTTCTCTGGTTTCACGAAGGGCTGCAAAGGACAAAAGATGGAAATGCTGTGACATGTTCTTAGATTTATCTTAGGAAAAAGGAGGTGGCAATGCTATTCCCACAGCCTAAGTAAGACACCATCAGGCCAACAAATATTCTGAGATCCTAAAAGCTAACCTTACATTACTTTAGTTTGGATATTTGGCTGACCTTCTCTTTTAACATAGTTCTAATTTATTTGCCATGTCACTTTCCATACAGTTCAGTTGATTTAAAAGTTAATTTCTCATACTGTGCATTAAAATAAAATTTTGGCCGGGCGCGGTGGCTCAAGCCTGTAATCCCAGCACTTTGGGAGGCCGAGGTGGGTGGATCACGAGGTCAAGAGATCGAGACCATCCCGGTCAACATGGTGAAACCCCGTCTCTACTAAAAATGCAAAAAATTAGCTGGGCGTGGTGGTGCGTGCCTGTAGTCCCAGCTACTCAGGAGGCTGAGGCAGGAGAATTGCCTGAGCCCAGGAGGTGGAGGTTGCGGTGAGCCGAGATTGCGCCACTGCACTCCAGCCTGGGTAACAAGAGCGAAACTCCGTCTCAAAAAAATAAATAAATAAATAAATAAAATAAATAAAATTTTGAACAATTTTTTTTTAAAGTGCCATTTTGTTTGCCCTCCTCTCCAATGCCAACCATTATCCTGAATGTAGGATTTACTATTCTCATTATGTTTTATACTATCAATCACTGCACAGATTCATAAATAACACATAGCATAATTTGGCACATTTTGAGTCTTCTCCCTACCTCATTCAGACACAGAACCTTCTCTTCCATAAAAGAATCAGGACAGGAAGGTTGCATCGGGTGCTAGCTCCCTGTCCCATGGTGGAGGAAAACGCATTGGTCCACTGGGCAGGACTCCTATTCAGTTTTCTCCCACTATGTTCCCTATGGCTTCCCAGACCTGTGGTAGATACTCTGTGACCTTGCCTTTCTCATCAAGACCCACATTTCACAAGGTGACCCACATATGGTTTCTATAATGAGGAGGCTAAGAGTGTACACCCCTCAGGATATGAGCTGGCCTGTGCCTTCCCAGCTGGCACAGATTCAGAGAACTTACAAGTGGGAATGCTGCCACCTCTCTGGAATAAGGCCGGTCCCAGTGGGAGGATGTAACGCAGGTCAGGGAGTGTGGAGACATCTGAGACAGAAACACAGAGGAGGGGTCAGAGCAGTACACTACTCCCACCCTGCACCCTCAGCCATCAAGCTTCTGATAGGAGACCAGGCAGAGAAAGGTGTCTTCTTTCAATTTAGGGGGTACAATGTGATTTGTAATTGTGTAGTATTTTAAATACTAGAATGTCATGGTAATAATAATTACATCTATCACCCAGCAAAGTCTAATGAACATTCTGTCATATTTGCTTCACCTTCTAGAAAAAATTACCTATACACTTGGAGATGCCTGTGTATCCCCTTCCCAGAGCTAACCACTCTTCTGGATTTGGTGTTTACTATTCTCATTATGCTATTATACTATTACTGCGTATGTTAATAAACAGTATATAACATAATTTGGCTCATTTTAAAATGTATCATCCTATGGATAGTATTACCCACTTGTATTATATCTCACTATTATGCTTTTTAAAATGTATATTGACATTTTTTTTTTTAAATCCTAAATCCTAAAAAGAAGAAGTCTCCAGAGAGAAAAGAGAAGTAAATGGCAGTAAACGTAATCATCTTGTATGCCTCCATTACTCTATGAAACTCACAGCTAGCAAGGTGCCTGCCTTCTACAAGTTGCTGACTCCTGCCATCTCCTGCAGGTAGGCAGTTTGGGAGCCTGCCCCAGCTACTACAGGCATCTCAGACTTGTTCTATGGCTTTATAGCCATGAAGACACAACCATAGCCTTCGTGATATTCTCCACTCCTGATCTTCCAGCTTACTACCTGGACTAACAAGAAACTTAGGACTCTGACCAGATATACAATTAACATGTTTTGGAAGAAGCAGAGTGATGCCCAGCCAACTCTTCCCCAACAAGGGGCATAAACGTTGTAACATTCAGTCCAAATGCCAATCCAGTTTTTTGTCACCCAGGCTGGAGTGCAGTGGCACAATCTCGGCTCACTATAACCTCTGCCTCCCAGGTCCGAATGATTCTCCTTCCTCAGCCTCCCGAGTAGCTGGGACTATAGGCACACACCACCACGACGGACTGATTTTTTGTATTTTTAGTAGAGAGAAGGTTTCACCTTGTTAGCCAGAATGGTCTTCATCTCCTTACCTTGTGATCTGCCCACCTTGGCCTCCCAAAGTGCTGGGATTATAGGTGTGAGCCACCGCGCCTGGCACCAATCCAGTTTTCTCAGCGATAACTGCTCTAACGTAAGAATGTGCTTGTACAGAGTTTGTAATGTGAATACGTAAATTTCATTTATGCCATAATCTCACTACATCAAACAGAATCACAGAATGTTACAAATTCTCCACCTAGACAGTTGGAGGACAGTTTCTACAACCACATCATCTTTGAGTAACTGTTCAAGATGATGCAAACTTCAAAGTAATAACTATCTTCTGAGAACTACCTTATTCTAGGGAAGAACATCATCTGCAGATGAGAGTTCAGGAGTTGCTGGTACACTGTCCAGACACCATTTTCTACTTTAAGGAGCATTTCAAGCAAAGTTCCAGGGCCTACGCACCTTCAGCGGATTGACCCTGGGGTCGATGCGGCCCTCCTCAATGTCAGCAATTTCCTGCCGAATGCTGATCATGGCATCACAGAATCTGTCCAGCTCTGCCTTGTCCTCCGACTCAGTGGGCTCAACCATGAGGGTCCCTGCCACAGGCCAGGACATGGTAGGGGCATGAAATCCTGCAAAGGTAGACAGGAGAACTTGCCTCACTGAAAGTCAGTAGCCTGCCCAGTTTGGAAGAAAAGTTCCCATCCCCTCTTACACTTTATCCTAAGAAAACCGTCAGATACTTTTGCAATTACATGTATTTTGGGATTCAACTCAATGTTGTTTTTAGAAGAAAAACTCAGGAAACAACCTAATATCCAACAGTGGAGGATCAGATAAGCAAATTTTATAGAGCACCCACATAGTAGGTAGACAGCCATTCAAAAGTATGTAAATCTGTTAAGTTGATTAAACATTCAAAAATATTAAGTGAAAAAAGCAAGCCACAAAATGATATCCCATTTCTAGATATAAATAAAAGGACAGAGAGAGAGAGAAAAGATGCCTTGAAGAAAATATAAAATGTTAACTGTAAATATGGCCAGAAAATGAGACTGGGATTTTTATTTCACTTTGATTATATATTAGAATCTTTCAGTAGTTATCATGTATTACTTGCAATTAAGGGAAATACAAATATTAGAACCTATCAAAAGTTAAACAGTGAAATAACAAGTGTTACAGACCCTGGAGCAAATCTTATTGTTCCCATTTTATAAGATAAGGAAACTGAAGTTTGGCCAGTATGTGGAAAGCCTTTGCCTCTACATTGAACACGGGCTCAGTGTGTTTCTGTTTCCCAAGGTTTTCACATGTAAGGTGATGCAACAAGACACATAGTCAAGAGAGACTTCCAGGACAGAGGTCAAAAACATTTTCCGTTTCCTATAGCTTTTCTATAAACTTTTTTTTTTTTTTTTTTGAGACAGGGTCTTGCTCTGTCCCCGAGGCTGGAGTGCACTAGCACATTGGCAGCTCACTGCAGCCTCAGCCCCCTGGGCTCAAGTGATCCTCCCACCTAAGCCTTCCAAGTAGCAGAGACCACAGGTGTATGCCACCATGTCCAGCTAATTTTTTTTACTGTTGTTGCAGAGACAGGGTTTTGTCATGTTGCCCAGGCTGGTCTCCACCTCCTGAGTTCAAGCAGTCGGCCTGCTTCTGCCTCCCATCATGCTGTGATAATAGGCATAACCCACCACACTGGGCCTATAAAACTTTTAAAAGCCAAAGAGCAACTCCCAGGTTGATACACCTCTGAACTAATCTTGTCCCAGCATATAGTGGTTCTGAAATTCTGGTGACATCATAATTACATGGGGTACTTGAGAGTCACATTTGCATGATTTAAGGAATTCTCTTCCCAACATTTTATTTTAAAATGTTCAGGCCAGGCGCTGTGGCTTACACACCTATAATCCCAGCACTTTGGGAGGCCAAGGCCAGTAGATTGCTTGAGCCCAGGAGTTTGAGACCAACCTGGGCAACATGACGAAACCCCATCTCTACTAAAAATACAAAAATTAGCTGGGTGTGGTGGTGTGTGCCTGTAGTCTCAGCTAGAAAGCTGAGGTAAGAGGATCACTTGAAGGAGATACGGCCTGCAGTGAGTCAAGATCAAGATCACAACACTGCACTCCAGCCTGGCAACAGAGTGAGACCCTGTCTCTATTAATAATAGATTTAAGTTGAAAGAACTGTAGGTGAGCACCTATATACCCACCACCTAGATTCTACAATGCTATTGTTTATCACATACCTACTCATCCAGCCACCCGTCTTTCTTTTTGATGCATTTCAAAGAACACTGCAGTTGGGCCGGGCACAGTGGCTCATGCCTGTAATCCCAGCTCTTTGGGAGGCCAAGGTGGGTGGATCACCTGAGGTCAGGAGTTCAAGACCAGCCTGGCCAAAATGGTGAAAACCCATCTCTACTAAAAATAAAAAAAGCCAGGCATGGTGGTGCATGCCTGTAAAACCCAGCTACTCAGGAGGCTCAGGCAGGAGAATCGCTTAAACCTGGGACACAGAGGTTGCAGTGAGTCAAGATCGTGCTATTGCACTCCAGCCTGAGTGACAGAGCAAGACTCTGTCTCCAGAAAAAAACACCAAAGTACATTGCAGTCATTAGTACACTTAACTCTTAAACTCTTCAACATCCATATCATGAACTAGAATTCAGTGTCTGTTAACATACTTTTGTGATAAAACTTAACAGTGAAATGCACAAATCCTAACTGTACCATTTAATCAGTTTTGGTAAATGCCTACACCTTTGTCACTCAAACCAGACAGGGTGTGAGCAAATTCAATCCAACATATCCTGCTGTAGTGGTTCCCAGATTGCAAACCACCTGAGGATTTCTTGCAGAAACACAAATTCCTGCATTTGGACCCTGATTCAGGAAGGAAAGGCTCAAAAATCTATGAGTCATAAAACATGCCAGGTGATTCTGATAATTGGTCTGATAATTAGCTTGGAAACTGCTGTCTAGGGCAGTATGCCTCAAAGTTGTCTAAGAATACTCATACAGAAACTCGCTCATGTTAAATAGATTATAATAAACGCTCTTTCTTAAAAATTCACGTTCATCAGGTATGCTTAAGACCTGGAAACTGTGTTGTCACGTTCATTGTTTTTTGACTTAGCTATTCATCTGGTCTCTTGTTTATTTATATATATTTTTTGAGACAGTCTCTGTCACGTAGGCTGGAATGCAGTGGCACAATCTCGGCTCAATGCAACCTCCACCTCCAGGGTTCAAGCCATTCTCTTACCTCAGCCTCCTACTCTGAGTAGCTGGGATTATAGGTGCATGCTACCACGTCTGACTAAGTTTTGTATTTTTAGTAGAGATGGGGTTTCACCATGTTGGTCAGGCTGGTCGCTAACTCCTGACCTGTGATCCACCCACCTCAACCTCCCAAATGATGGGATTACAGGCCTTAGCCATGGTGCTCAGCCCTGGTCTCATTTATTAACACCACGAGGTGAGTATCTACTATGTGCTAGGCACCTGGACAATTCTGGGCATTTGGAGAAGTGTGGAAACCATTCTATCCATCACCAAAATAACATCAAGGTTGGGAGACAGAACATGACTTGGAAATACTGAGAGCCACTCCTCTCCCTCTTTGCAAATCCTGCTGCATTGAGATGTGTGAAGTAGGCAAGGCATCCAGAAAGAGAATGTGTAAAACACTATCACTAGCTGGGAGGCTGTCAGAGGAAAGGAGTTCTACTGTGCAGGTGACAAGAGTTGCCCAGAGGAGATCTTGAGGATTCATTAATGAAGACTTTCTCTGGCTTTCCCATTTATTGTCAGACTAACTCTGCATAAGATCATTCGTTTGAGAGAGGAATGAGTCACACACATGGGATTCCCATTATGATGCAGTAGTGAAACTATTAAATTTAAAAGATTTACCTCTTTTCTTCCCAAAACAAGTCATTAAAATTCAGATAAGACTCCATATCCATCGAATGGCAAAGTTCTCCCCAACATAGCCTTAATATTATAATATCGGCTAGGTGTGTTGGCTTACACCTGTAATCACAGCACTTTGGGAGGCCAAAGCGGGTGGGTTCCCTGAGCTCAGGAGTTTGAGACCAGCATGGCCAACATGGTGAAACCCATCTCTACTAAAAATAGAAAAAAATCAGCTGGGTGTGGTGGTATGCACCTGTAGTCCCAGCTACTTGGGAGGCTGAGGCACAAGAATCACTTGAACCTGGGAGGCAGAGGTTACAGTTAGCCGAGATCACACCACTACACTCCAGCCTGGGTGACAGAGTGAGACTGTCTCCCCAACCCCCCAAAAACTAGTATGATCTTAATGTTATAATATTTATAACATTGTTCACTAGTAAAATGTAGTGAGCTGAGCTGAATGAACACACCTAATGCACAGATAAAGGGTTCAAGTCTTTGTTTCATTTTCTTTGTGAAAATACTACACTTACTACTTCATCTCTTGAAACAGCTGGTGGCTACAATGCTTCAATGCCATTCACTTTTACCACTTCCATGGGTTACTGGCTCTGCTTCCTTCACCGCTACACTCACTGCAACTCACTGGGATTTTAATTTTAATCATAAACACTTCTTTTCTTTGCCATTAATGGATTCAAGATGTGTATCTTAGTATCTTCTGAAAGGCAGGACCAGTGCAGTCATAAGGAAACTTTTTTCCCTATTATTTTGGAGAATGCCAGGAATCCTGAACTCCCCACTTATCCCCCAGATCAGTTTACTGTGGTGCCTGCACTTTCCATCTGTGCTTTAGGAAGTGGTCCACAGCCGGCATGGGCGACAATGTCAAAAGCCACTTACCATAATCCTGGAGTCTCTTGGCCACATCCACAGCCTCAATATTTGCAGACTTTTTGAAAGGTCTTGTGTCCAAGATAAACTCATGACCCACATAACCTGTTCAGGAAAGCCGTTCAACTCAAGGTTAGCATCAGCTTATTGTTTTACCCAAACGAATGAATAATTTATAAGTACATCAGCTTTCTATGTGTTATCAGTGAGGACCGAGAAGCCATGGGCACCAGGTAAGTTTGTTGTTGGCAATAAAGACATCATTTAGTCTCATTACAAATAAAAATGTTTAGCACATTGGGCCCATGTGTCTGATATTTAGCTCACTACACACCTGTGAACCTGATTATGGCTAACGACAGGTGGGAGGCATTACTAGAACATTTTAAGGGAGGTGAGCTTATTTTAAGGTAGCTTATTTCTTTTTTTTTTTTTTTTTTTTTTTTTGGAGACAGAGTTTTGCTCTTGTTACCCAGGCTGGAGTGCAATGGCGCAATCTCGGCTCACCGCAACCTCCGCCTCCTGGATTCAGGCAATTCTCCTACCTCAGCCTCCTGAGTAGCTGGGATTACAGGCATGCACCACCATGCCCAGCTGATTTTTTTGTATTTTTAGTAGAGACGGGGTTTCACCATGTTGACCAGGATGGTCTTGATCTCTTGACCTCGTGATCCACCCGCCTCGGCCTCCCAAAGTGCTGGGATTACAGGCTTGAGCCACCGTGCCCGGCCAAGGTAGCTTATTTCTACTCTGCAGACCTAAAACCTACTTGCAACAGTTAAATGCATCGTCTAGTCTTGATCCTTTTATACAAAATATTTATAGAGCCATTGACACTTTTCAGCACCTTTACCCTCAACATCAAATAACAACTATTTGTGTAAGTATAGATATGGATATATTAAACACATATCCATAAGACACATACAGAATTTTATGTGTTCTTTGAAGGACCTTTTGATGTTTTGGTTTCAGGCTGCAAACAAAGAATTAGAAATAAGCAATGTCAAACAATAAACCATAAGAAAGAAGGAGTTAATGAGGCCAAAATCTGAGACTCAGTCCACTTTGTTCTACCAATGATATGTCCCTTATTTGAAATCATAGATCTTTATTTGAGCCTCATGCTAGCATTCAAAAAGTTTTGGATTTTCAGGCCAGGCACAGTGACTCATGCCTGTAATCCCAGCACTTTGGGAAGCTGAGGTAGGCAGATTGCTTTAGAATAGGAGTTCCAGACCAGCCTGGGCAACAGGGCAAAACCCTATCTCTACTAAAAATACAAAGAATTAGCCAGACTTTGTGGCCCAGACTGGTAGTCCCAGCTACTCAGGGGTCTGAGGTGGGATAATCCCCTGAGCCTGGGAAGTTGGGGCTGCAGTAAGCTGTGATCACACACCTGCACTCTAGTCTGGGTGACAGGCATGAGACCCTGTCTCAAAAAATTAAATAAATACAAATATTTAGAGTTTTAGATTTTCAGATTAGGGATATTCAACCTGTAGGTCATAAATAGACTGCTTCTCTAGATCCAGGCTACCAGTAGCTCCCCAGAATGAGCTACTGACCACACAACCGTCATCAGGAATAAACCATTAAGTCAGCATTTTAACAAACAGACCAATATTCCTCCAGGGCTGCCCAAATTCCACAGTCCACCAACTGATGAATTTCCTTCCAGGAAAGTATCTACTCATGAGATAATGATGTACTCCTCCTTAACCCACTTTCCTCAATTTCAGCAAAAATGAATTCACTTACAGAGACTCAGAGCAAACAACTTCTCAAGCCTGTGAAGAATAGCTCCAGTAATTAATAGCCCCTGAAGACAGTCTATGAACTGTTCTGCTTCTTATAGAATAAATAAATATGAAAGAGGTGGGGCCACTGCACTCCAGCCTAGGAGATGGTGAGACTTTGTCTCAGGAAAAAAAAAAAAAAGAAGTAATTTTGTTTGAAAAATAAAACTACAATGAGCTTACGACTGAATATACTGAAACTGCATCTTTTTAAACCACGCTTTATGGAAAAAAAAAGTTAAAAGTTGAGATGGGGACCAGGCACGATGGCTTATGCCTGTAATCCCAGCACTTTGAAAGGCCAAGGCGGCGGATCACGACGTTGAGATCATCCTGGCCAACATGATAAAACCCTGTCTCTACTAAAAATACAAAAATTATCTGGGTGTGGTAGCACATGCCTGTAGTCCCAGCTACTTGTGAGGCTGAGGCAGGAGAATCACCTGAGGGAGGCAGAAGTTGCAGTGAGCCGAGATCACGCCACTTCACTCCAGCCTGGCAAGAGTGATACCCCATCTCAAAAAAAAAAAAAAAAAAAAAAATTGAGACAGGGTTGGGCATTCTGTCACTCAGGCTGGCATGCAGTAGCACCATCACAGCTCACTACAGCCTTGACCTCCTGGGCCCAAGCAGTCCTCCCAGTTCAGCCTCCCGAATAACTGGAACTACAGGTATGTACCACCATGTCCAGCTAATTTTTGCATTTTTAGTAGAGACGGGGTTTCACCATGTTGACCAGGATGGTCTCGATCTCTCGACCTCGTGATCCACCCACCTCGGCCTCCCAAAGTGCTAGAATTATAGGCATAAGTCACCGCACCCAGGCAAAACATGCTTTCTAACAATGATGGAGAATAAATTTGTAAGGAGTGTGATTCAAAAGCAGAAAATTCAGCCAGGCACAGTGGCTCACACCTATAATTCCAGCATTTCTGGAGACCAAGGCGGGAAGATGGCTTGAGCTCAGGAGTTTGAGACCAGCCTAGGCAACATAGTGAGACCCTGTTTCTACCAAAAAAAAATAAATAAAAAGTTAGCTAGGTGCAGTTGTACCTGCCTGTAGCACAAACTGCCTGTAAGACTGAGGTGGGAGAATCGCTTAAGCCCAGGAGGTCAAGGCTGCAGTGAGCCAAGATCACACCACTGCATTCCAGCTTGGGTGACAGAGTGAGACCTTTACAGAAAAAAAAAAAAAAAAAGGGGAAAATCTTATTCATGGATGGGTAAACATAGGGGAAAATGCTTAAACAGACTAGTCAATCAGCGTTCAAGGGGAAAATCATAAGATTAGATTTTTATCGCCGGGCACGGTGGCTCAAGCCTGTAATCCCAGCACTTTGGGAGGCCGAGGTGGGTGGATCACGAGGTCGAGAGATCGAGACCATCCTGGTCAACATGGTGAAACCCCGCCTCTACTAAAAATACAAAAAATTAGCTGGGCATGGTGGTGCATGCCTGTAATCCCAGCTATTCAGGAGGCTGAGGCAGGAGAATTGCTTGAACCCAGGAGGCGGAGGATGCGGTGAGCCGAGATCGTGCCATTGCACTCCAGCCGGGGTAACGAGCGAAACTCTGTCTCAAAAAAAAAAAAAAAGATTACATTTTTATCACCTACTAATACCAGGACTCTTAAACGCTCATCTGAGGATCGTTTGAGCTTGGGAGTTGGAGACCAGCCTGGGCAACAAAGCAAACCCTATCCTACAAAAGATTTAAAAATTAGCCAGGTGTGTGGCACACATCTGTAGTTCCAGCTACTCAGGAGGCTGAAGTGGGAGGATCGCTTGATCCCAGGAAGTCAAGGCTACAGTGAGCGATAAAGTGACTGCACTCCAGCCTGGGTAACAGAGCAAGACTATCTCTTAAAACAAAATGTCCTGACTGTGACAATGATTGGAGGAGGAAGGCTAGTGGAAGCTTGCTGCTCGGAATGACACCAGGTGGCAGGGAGGGGAGGAGGGGAACACAGTGGAAGAGGAGGCACTCTTGCTGACAGAGTTAAGAGGAGAGTCTTCCAAGCAGAGGTACAGTAATAGCTGAAAGGCACCATCCAGCCAAGCTCAACACAGCACTGCTAATACCACAGTGCCATCCGAAGAGGCCCCCACCACAGCCAAGAGGTTTAGGAAGAGCTCCATTTTCTAAATCAGGTTCAGATGTTATTTTCTCAATCCACACTCTATTGCATTCAACTAAAAACTATAGTGGAATTCCAGCATCTCTCTCTCCATCTCTACATGAGCCCTGAAAGGGATGAAATTTCAACTTGGTGGCTGTTAAAAGTCAGATCCTAAGATGTTCTTTGTTTTCAGCTTTTAGGAGAAAAGACACAAAAACCCACTATAGGGCAATGGTGGGGCAGTATCAAGTGGAAACTGTATAAACCACTCAGTTCCAAGGTTTTTTTGTTTGTTTTTCGTTTTTTTTTTGAGACGGAGTTTCACTCTTGTTACCCAGGCTGGAGTGCAGTGGCGCGATCTCGGCTCACCGCAACCTCCGCCTCCTGGGTTCAGGCAATTCTCCTGCCTCAGCCTCCTGAGTAGCTGGGACTACAGGCATGCACCATCATGCCCAGCTAATTTTTGTATTTTTAGTAGAGACGGGGTTTCACCTTGTTGACCAGGATGGTCTCGATCTCTTGACCTTGTGATCCACCCGACTCGGCCTCCCAAAGTGCTGGGATTACACATTTCCAAGTTTTAATGTTCACAGAGTAGGTGTTTCTGCTGGACCTAACCATGACTGTAGCGGAGAAGGTGCCACGTGAAAGGGGCAAGGAGGATAGGAGGGGGTGGATGGCTGTAAGTAGGAACCACCACCCCCACATGCTGACTGTCTTCCGAGGGTAAGAACAACATGGGAATTTGCTGTGGAAAAATAGGGCTTCTCAAATCCCTCCTTGTGAGAAGGGACCAGACCTTACTTATCCCCCATCTTCAAGGTGGTTACTGAGGAATAAATGAAACTCACTAGATAAATACTCTGTAAAGTTCTATTGGGCAATCAATGCTTGGTCAGTCCTTTTAGCTGCAATCCACAGACCATGACTAACACAATGAATCAGACCTCCTGGCTGTTTCCTTGTAGTTCAAGCTGAGAATGAGGTTTCCCTGAGAATGAGGTCAGGTAAGTGGGACAGAGCAGGGTCACTTGTGAGCCAAGGACATGAGGGCCCAGCCCCTGAGGCCGCTGCGTACCCCTATAGCAAGGGCCAGCTGGAAACCTCAGCAGGGACAGGTATTTGTGGAAGAGTTGGGTTTGTCTGATGTTTAGAAAAAAAAAAAAAATTGATAGGCATATAAGAAA